CTTCTTTAAAAATTACTGGGAATCAAATCCTGTGCTTGTGAAAATAACCTTAGACAATGAAATACATGCCTATAGAGTTGTAAATGACCTCACTAATGTATTTTTTGTTCCTTTTCCTTTTTGTGTTTCTCAAACCTGTTACAAAAATCCAGGATAACTTTGGAGCTTTTGAGATAGTTGCTCTTAATTATTTTGTCCCTTTAAAAAAGAAGTTAGTAAAAAAATTGAAGTGGCTCTGATTTTTAAAATAAAAATACAAAGCAGAGCATTGTTAATACATGGACACATGTATTATGTAGCTACAAGACAGGATGTGGTATTCAGGTCTTTCTGAGAGTAGCCGACTTTTGAAAACTTGGAACAAACTTTGAAAATTCTGTTTTGAGTTATCAGTTTTATTTATTAACTCTATGAAAGCATTTTGACAAACATAATAACTACTATCAGTGGAACAATGTAACAAAGTGAGCAAATAAGAGACATTTCAACTTTTCTTACACCTTATTTAAAAATTTCATGATTATTGAACAACTTCCATATGCTGGGCTTTGGTCTAGCTTTAAGGGACATAGAGAAAAGTACAGAGATGAAGATAACATAAACCAAAACCTCCTAACATCACAGAGTAAATGCAGAGAGGCTGCTTTACTATGTTATGTATTAGACGATATATAAAGGGGTATGTGATATTAATTACTAAAGATAATAAAATTACTCTGTGGAAAATGAATTAAAATATCAGGTGAAGAGAAGTAAGTTTTGAAAGGAGGGATACTTTTAGGAATTATATATGTTGTTTTATAAGTTTTATGAATGCAAAATCATTTATAAGAAAAAAAGCAATTATGCTGAATTCAAGAACCTCCAAATGGCAACACTTTTTTTTTGGTGAGGAAGATTCACCCTGAGCTGACATCTGTTGCCAATCTCCCTCTTTTTTGTCGAGAAAGACTCACCCTGAGCTGACCTCTGTTCCAGTATTCCTCTATTTTGTATATTGGTTGCCACCATAGCATGGCTGCCAACGATTGGTGTAGGTTCACGCCTAGGAACCAAACCCAGGCAGCCGAGGCAGAGTGAGCCAAACTGAACCACTAGGCCACCGGGCTGGCCCCTGGCAACACTTTTAATAATGGAGAAGATGGATTATAAGAAGATAACTGCATCAAAATGTGTTAATGGGTTAGAACATTAGTTGTGAGACAAATATATATATATAATTATGTATAAAATAATGTATAAATGAAGTATTCTTATATAATGAGTACAGTGCTTCAAAAGATCTGATGATCTATTTCATAAATAATGATATAAAAATAAAAAGAGGCATTTAGTTCCTTTTCCTTACTGTTAGTGTACTTTATCCTGCTTCAACACTACTGTGGTCTAATGGCAAAGATCTTTCATGGTGTGTTTATCCATTAACTCATTTATTTCTTTATAAACATCTTTTTTTGTTTCATTTTGTTTTAATTTCAAACTCCTCCACTGCATCCTTAGGAAAAGCTATTATCAAGGAACAGTCATGCAATTAGCTTCCTGTTTCAATAGCAGACCTTAAATAAATCGTTTGAAAAAGGAAGAAAAAACTAAAACCTTGTGGTTTTGTGTCTTTCAGTTTGAAGGGAAGATAAGAGTCAAAGAACATATTAACTATAGATATTTGCTATATAGAAGGAATGAAATTAGAGGAATCAAGATGATGTTGGGAATGCGAAGTGTATGCAGAGATTTATGTTCATTGAGTTTTAAAATACATTTATCTTTTATAATTTCAGATAAATACTAGATGTCAGAACACAGATATAAAGAAAAAATCTAATGCTAAATGTCAGTGTGATTAATATATTTGCATATTAAAAATTTGATTTAATAATTTAAGAAGATTGATCATGGCAATTTGAAGCAGCAGTTATTTATTATGATTCTGAAAATATCATGTTTTTAATACAGCATCAAATGAGTGTTTAAATAAGAATATTTTTGACAAATTTTATTTGATAAATAGATTTTGAAAAAAGTTATTTACTATAAATACTCCCTAAAATATAATTGAATAGTTTGGTGATTTGAAAAACAGATCATAAAGCGTTATTCAAAGGAAATTGCTCCAACAAATTAACTGCTACAAGAACTGTCTGGGATAGTAAGCTAGTTCTATATGGACGAGAATTCATGGGGAGTTTTGTAGATAGCAAAATTCTAACATCTGTAGGAAAATACATTAGAACTTATTTGATCTGTTATCCCTCAAAGTATGAAACAGGAAGCATTTACTTCATAATTTGAATTTAATAATCTAGATAATCACAAATGTAAATATTATGAAACTAAATTTGTGATTTTTCATCATTTTCTATTATTGCAAGGGATTAATTTACATTAAAATTAAAAAGAAATTACTAATATGTCATTAATTTTTCTACTCTGCATTCTGGAATAAATCAAATAGGAAAATACTCCATAAATTTACTACTAATATTTCTGTTCATTTTTATGGCATTTTAAAATTCCTGGGGAAAATTTGACTGAAGGTAAATGTGAGCCTCTCTATTTTGTTTCCACTCAACTAGTATCTTTTTATATATATAGGAATTTTTAAAACACGCAGACATGCATGACTACAAAATGAAGACAAATAATGTTATATAACATCTTGAAAGCATGATATACTATCTTTTTAGATTTTTTTCCAGCTTTACTGAGGTATAATTGACAAATAAAAGTTGTACATATTTAAAATGTATAAGGTGATTTGTGTGTATGTGTGTGTGTGGAAGATGGTCGATCAACCCTGAGCTAACATCTGTTGCCAATCTTCCTCTTTTTGCCTGAGGAAGATTGTCCCTGATCTAACATCTATGCCAATCTTCCTCTATTTTTTTGTTTATGGGATGCTGCCAGAGCATGGCTTATTGAGCACTGTGTAGGTACACACCCAGGATGTGAATCCAAACTCAGGCCGCCAAAGCAGAGTGCGCAAACTTAACTACTCCGCCACTGGGCTGGCCTATGATGTTTTGATGTATGTATACATTGTGAAGTGATTACCACAATCAAGCTAATTAATATATCTACCACCTCACATAGTTACCAATGTGTGTGCGTGGTAAGCACTTACAATCTAGTATTTTAGCAAATTTTGAGCATTAAATACAGTCTTATTAACTATAATCACCATGCTGTACATTAGCTCTCCAGAATTATTCATCCAGCATACATAACAAACTTTGTACTGTTTGACCAACATCTCCCCATTTCCCTCATCCCTCAAGTCTTGGAAACCACCATTCTACTCTCTGCTTTTATGAGTTTGACTTTTTGGATTCCATATATAAGTGAGATCACTCAGCATTTATCTTTTTCTGTCTGGCTTATTTCGCCAACCATAATACCCACCAGGTTCATCCATGTTGTCACAAATGGCAAGATTTCCTTCTTTTTTATGGCTGAATAATATTCCATTAGATACACACACATGTGTGTGTATACATCTATATATCATTACATATATATATTATATATATAATACATATAATTATGTACATATAATACATATAATTATATATTATATATATAAATGTGTATATATATACATATACATTTTCCTTATCCATTTTATCCATCATGGCCCCTTATTTCCCTATCTTGACTACTGTGATAGTACTACACTAAACATGGAAGTGCAGATATCTTTATCTCTTTGAGATACTGATTTTATTCCCTTTGGATATATACCCAGAAGTGGAATTGCCAGATCATACAATAGTTCTATTTTTAACTTTTTGAGGAATCAAAATACTGTTTTCTATCATGGTTGTACCAACTTACTTTCTCACCAATAATGTATAAGGATTCCCTTTTCTCCTCATCCTCACCAGCACTTGCTATCTTTTGTCTTTTTGATAATAGCCATTCTAAAGGTGATATCTCATTGTGGTCTTGATTTGTATTTTCCTGATGAACTAGCGATGTTGACCATCTTTTCATATAACTATTGACCATCTGTATGTCTCTTTTGAGAAATGTTTATTCAGGTCTTATGTCCATTTTGTAATTGAGTTATTTGGGATTTTTTTTTTGTTGCTGTTATTTAGTTGTTTCAGTTCCTTATTTATTTTGGGCATTACCCCTCTATCAGACATATATTTTGAAATATTTTCTCCCATTCCATAGGCTGTCTCTTCACTCTCTTGTTTCCTTTGCTGTATAGAATCTTTTTAATTTGATGTACCCCACTCATTTATTTTTGCTTTTGTTGACAGTACTTTGGGGGTCATATCCAAAAAGTCATAGCCCAGACTAATGTCAAGAAGGTTTTTGCCCATTTTTTTTTCTAGTAGTTTCACAGTTTCAGGTATAATACCTTTATTTGTATTTATTAAAAAATCATTTTACTGAAGTGGCAAACAAATGTGTATGTTTCTGATGTCATAGATTGTAATGTATATTTTGTAATAAACCTCTGAAACTTTGTAACATGTATTTATGTAAAAAAGTAGCTTCATAATGATGAAATCTCTATAATGTTATACCAATACCAATCTCTACCCACATTTCACAATTTACTAAATTAAAAAAGTGATGCAAACTCCTAAAATACAAGGTGTTGATTATTTGTATATATTTGTCAAGGGAATATTAATCTATTCATTATCTAGCTGGAATATGACCTCAAGCACCTCTAGGTATTTTCTTCTTTCTCTTTGTTAAAATACCATTTTATCACACATTTATTCCAGCAAATTATCTACTGGATTTTAACTTACATCATTTTATCTTTTTGAACTCATAATCATAGTAAATGAAACACTATCTCACTGATTTATGAATTGTTACCTTTATTAACATCATTTAATTAATTAATTTGTTAAAAGTACAATGAATCTAATTCCCAATTCAAGAACTATTACTTCATTAATGACTTGCATCTTTCATTGTGCCCTTCAATATAGCAACCCCATTTCCCTAACAGGAATGGCCACTATCAAAACTTTTCTGTGTTCACTTCAGCAGCACATATACTAAAATTAGAATGATCTAGAGAAGATTAGCACGGTTCCTGAGGAAGGGTAATATGCAAACTTGTGACGTGTTCTGTATGTTTCAAGCTTAATTGTTATCAACATAAAATAGACTATAATAGATATAAGTTGTAATATGTAAGCCTCATAGAGCCACAAGGCAAAATCCTATAGTAGATACAAAAAAAAGATAATGAGAAAGGAATCTAAGTATATCACTAAAGAAAGTCATCAAACCACAAAGGAAGAGAGCAAAAAAAGAAAGGAACAGAGAAGAACTACAAAACAAACAAAAAACAATTAACAAAATGGCAATAAGTACATACCTATCAAGAATTATTTTAAATGTAAATGGACTAAATTCTCCAATCAAAAGACACAGAGTGGCCAAATGGGTAAAAAAACACGACCCATCTATATCTTGCCTACAAGGGACTCACTTCAGATGCAAAGATAAGCACAGGCAGAAAGTGAAGGAAAGAAAAAGATACTTCATACAAATGGAAACCAAAAGAAAGCTGGGATAGCTATACTTATATCAGACAAAATAGACTTTAAAAACAAAGACTATAACAAAAGACAAACAAGGACATTACATAATGATAAAGGAGTCAATCCAACAAGAGACTATAACATTGAAAATAATTTCATGTATAATTGCATCAAAAAGAATGAAATACCCAGGGATAAACTTAACCAAGGAGGTGAAAGATCTATACACTGAAAAGTATAAGACATTAATGAAAGACATTGAAGAAGACAGAAATAAATGGAAAGATATTCCACATTCATGGATTGGAAGAATTAATATTGTTAAAATGTCCATACTACCCAAAGCAATCTACAGATTCAATGCAATCTCTATCAAAATTCCAATGGCATTTTTCACAGAAATAATACAAATAGTCCTAAAATTTGTGTGGAACCACAAAAGACCCTGAATAGCCAAAGCAAGTTTGACAAAGAAGAACAAAGCTGGAGGCATCATGCCTCCTGATTTCAAACTACATTATAAAGTTATCATAATCAAAACAGTGTGGCATTGACATAAAAATGGACACATAGATCAATGGAACAAAATAGAGACCCCAAAAATAAATGCATGCATCTATGGTCAACTAATTTATGATAAAGGAGCCGAGACCATACAATGGGGAAAGAAAATTCTCTTCAATAAATGGTGCTGAGAAAACTCGACAGCCACATACAAAAGAATGAAAATGGGCCACTATTTTGCACCATACACAAAAATTAACTCAAAATGGATTAAAGACTTGAATGTCAGACTTGGAACCAGAAAACTTCTAGAAGAAAACATAGGGGTAAGCTCTTTGCCATAGGTCTTGGTGATGATTTTTTGAATCTTTACACCAAAAGCAAAAACAACAAAAGCAACAATAAAGTTGAGACTGCATCAAACTAAAAAGCTTCTGCACAGCAAAGTAAACCATCAACAAAATAAAAAGGTAAGCTTTTCTGAATGGAAGAAAGCACTTGGAAATCATATATCTAATAAAGGGTTAATATCCAAAATATATAAATAACTCATACAACTCAGGAGCAAAAAAAAAAAAAAAAAAAATCTGATTAAAAAATGGGCAGAAGCTCTGAATAGACGTTTTTCCAAAGAAGACATACAGATGGTCAATAGGTACATGAAAACATCACTAATCATCATGGAAATGAAAATCAAAACCACAATGAGATATCACCTCACATCTGTTAGAATGGCTCTTACCAAAGAGACATGAAATTACAAGTGTTGATGAGGGTCTGGAGAAAACGGAACCTTTGTGCTCTGTGGGTGGGAATGTAAATTGGTACAGCCAGTATGGAAAACAGTGTGAAGGGTCCTCAAAAAATCAAAAATAGAACTACCATATGATCCAGTAATTCCACTTCTGGGTATTTATACAAAGAAAATGAAAACACTAACTCAAAAAGATATACGTACTCCCAAGTTCACTGCAACATTATTTACAATAACTAAGATTTGGAAACAATCTAAGTGTCCATTGATGAATAAATGAATAAAGAAACTGTGGTACATACTTACAATGGAATATTATTCTTCCATAAAAAGAAGGAAATATTGCCATTCTGAAAACATGGATGGATCCTGAGGACATTGTGCTAAGTGAAATAAGTCAGACAGAGAAAGGTGAATACCATCTGACCTCAGTTACATGTGGAATCCAAAAGAAAAAATCAAAAACAAACAAGCTCACAGATATACAGAACAGACTGCTTGTTGCCAGAGGTAGGGGGTGGGGCAGGGAGAAATGTGTGAAGGGGGTCAAAGGGTACAAACTTCTATGTATAATATAAATATGTCATGGGGAGGTAACATAGAGCATGGTGTCTATAGTTAATAACATTGTATTGCATAATTGAAAGTTGCTAAGAGAGTAGACCTTAAACTTCTCATCACAAGAAAAAAAATTTGTAACTATGTAAGGTGACAACTGTTAATTAGACAGTGTTGTTATCATTTCACAATGCATAGAAATATCGAATCATGTTGTACACTTGAAACTAATGTAATGTTATATATTGAGGTATATATACCTCAATTTAAAGAAACTAAAATTAAGTTAAATTTTAAAAAGAATTGTGTTTAATATTTCCCTTGCCACTTTTAAAGTGTACTATTGTATGTCTATATCTCTAAATAATAAATTGGTTTAGTACTTTATTTTTAACTTTTAAAAAATGTATATTAGATTATTAAACATTTTTACTAAGTTAAGCAACATTAAAATTTGTATGTAACATTCCAGGCTTCTTTTTCATTTAGTGCTATCAATTTTTATTTTATTCCTTCTCCTGTCTATGAGTTTTGATATTTTCTCAAGATGTTGTTATCCTCCCTGCCCAAATGAGTTCAAGACTTTCAATGGAGCTTCATCTGGATGTGATAATTAGTAAATTCAAATCTCTTTTCTTTGGGTTTTCTTTTGGGGGGTTATTACATCTGACTTCAGACTCTTTTTTTTCTCATACCACTACAAATATATTTCAATGATTTATTTCTATACTGCTATAGTCTGCATGCACAGAGATGAGGAACTTTGTATTAGAACATTTGCAAGAAAATGAGACCATTTACATTGAAAAATCACCTGCCCTTAGCAAGTTTCTTTTAGGTTTTATGATTAAAAAAGTGAATCTCTTCACTTTCTTAAAACTGCATTTCCTAATGTCCCCTTTAGTAATCTAGGCTGAGAAGTTTCAAAGAGAGGAAAAAGTATTAGTATTTTCCAAGCTCTGGAAAGAGAAACAGTGCAGGTAAAAAAAAAAATCTTTATTTTTATACTTAATACTATTATTTGTTATTTGAAACTTATATAAAATGTGTACCTTAGAAGTTGTGTGTGTAATGACTACTTTGTAATACATTACAAAATGTCAGATTAATTTTTCAATTAAATTTTACTGTAGCCTATTAAGTACTAGGCATAGTACTTGATATGGAAAGACCAAGATAAAATTCGAATTAAGGAAGAAAAGAGCAACAAATATGTTTGATATTGTACTCTAAGTAATTTTAAAATTATATTTGTTTTATCTTTCTACAGGCATTTAAAAATTTCTCTGACACTTATGTGTCAAAAGGGGTTAAAACTAAGTATAAATATTTTTAATCGTTAAACTTTTCCTAATATTAAAGGATTTTATTTTTGAACATCAGACGTGGATGGATGTGCTTGGCTCTGACAAAGATATGTAAGATTTTCATATGCAAAATACCAAATGCCAGATGTGCTTTATCTATATTAGATGTAAGATGAATATAAATGAGGTCAAGTACTCAGTGTGCATAGCATGACATTTCAAAATGTTTCTACTCTCACATCTTGTCTTCGGTAACGTTTTAAACCTGTCATTTGGCAAACCTAAATGGCATTCCCTAAGACGTCATTAAATTAAAACCTGGAAAAGGAGACTTTCATTTAGTCATCTTTTTAAAAATTAGTGACATTGAAAAGAGGATTACATCATTGTTTAAAATTCTAGGGGGAAAATAAAGGAAATTACATTGGGACACTCCTGAAACAACAAACATGACTTTAGTACCATGAATGTAGATGTTTACAATAATTATAAATCTATGATATAAATGAGATATGCTTATACTGCCTGGTGCATCCTCAGGAGAAAAATTAAAAACATATTTCTTTAAGCAAGTAAAGCATAAAATTTCTTTTAAATATTGATGCACTGGTGACAGATGCATGGCAATCTAGAAGAAATAAAGCCATTGTCAGCAATGAAGCATCATAAGAATAATTGTTATAAAAAAATTTAAGACAAAATTATTGCACAACTATATCTTTCATTATCTGCTGAGTTTTTGAAATTGTTAAATTATAATAATCCAGGGAATGACAGACTTATCAATAATTGAGAAACCTCATGAGTTGCAAAAGAACGATGCATGAAGAAAAAATAACATTTGACTTTTGGAAATACAGGAAAGGTAAAACTATTACTGGTTGCCATATATTTATTACCTACCATGTGTCAGGCACTACAATAGATACTATATGTAGATTATTTCTAATTATCTGAACATTGCTGAAGATATATGTTCTCTTTTAAGCATGAAAACACTTGTTTATTATCACTTACTAGTAGCTGGAAAAATAAGGATTTGAACTAAGGTTACCGAACTCAAAATCCATGGAAAGAATTTTTTCAAGTGAGAGATATCACCACCGTCTAACCATTTAACTGTGAGCCTGAAAAATATAATTCATTTAACAAAAATTTTTGAATATCTTCTTTGTCCCAGTCATTAATCAAGGTTCTGAGAGAAGACAGAGGATAAACAGACAAAAACCCACGTTTTATGGAGCTTATATTTTAGTATGGGAAGACAGACACACACAAAAATAAACAATAAAATAGAATATCTGAAGTGTCAGATGATGAAACACATTATAGAAAAAGATATAAGACGGTAAGTGTGGAGTTTGGGAGTCAACTTTAATTAAAGTACTAAGGAAAGACTCATAAGACAGTGGTTTTGAACAAAAGCTGAAAGAGGGAAGAGAATTTACAGGAATTTTATCTGGAAAAA